TTTAAATGAGATGATCACACACTTCAATATGGTATCAGAACAGGTAAAAGTCCTGAAATCGAATCGCACTATTGCCCGTTTTATCATTATCTAGTGGGACTATTATTTTTGTCCTTCTGACACAACTAGATAAACAGTTGAAATAATGAAAATATGGATTATTAATGTGAAGTTTCATGAACCCAATAAGTGAATAATAAACCAAATTAATGGAATGTGCGGATGACAAAACAAAGAACACATAACAACTCCAATTGTAATAATGGTACCTCATACTAATTATTAGGGACAGCTTCATAAACTAGTGACTTAGTGAGAGTTCAATCAGTGTAAAATTATGCAACTTTTTCGTTAAAAAAGTGTTGCAGTAATCAAAATAAATTAAAGCACAGATTGTGTTTAATAATACAGTACTTAGCCAACTAGCTGGACGAATACTAGATCCGTTTACTTTTATTTGTTTATCACTTTTTGCGTAGCTAGAGAATAACATAATTTATTAATTTTTCATGTTTTACATGTGCTATTGCTAACTTATTCTTGGAAGGCATAATATATAGATGTGCATTTTAGTTTGGCTTTATTTCACATTTATACCCTTCAACTTTCGATATGTATATAAGTAAATATTAAAACTTGTATAAAGTTAAAAAATGAGAGACACATGAACCTAACATGACATAATACACGTAAAACACAATGTAGAACACAAATTGTCAAGTAAGATGCATGTGTCTATTTATTTGATTTTATATGAGTATTTTTATGTAAGTTTAAGTGTTTACTTGTGTACATACAAAACAAAAATACATAAATATAAGCTAAAACCAAGTTAAATGACATATTTATGTATTCATTATTCAAAGCACAAGACTATCAATAAATAAATTATTAAAAAGTATTAATATGGAAAAATACTCATACTAATTGCTTATTATTTTTAAAAATAGTATGCAAAATTAAAAATGAACTACTAATAAAAATAGAGATAAATACTAAAAGCATGTGGAGAAGATCAAATGAAAAGACCACAAAGATCCTTTGCATTTATTTCCATCAATATCAAAACCACCCACCATTGCTTTTGAATTTATCACGTCGTTGTGGTTAGTTGCCATCGAATTTTTTTTCCAACTAAACAAAGTAAACATTGCATCTCATCACACACAACTTTTATCTACTAAACATAGAGTATATATTACTCTCATTTATCTATAGAAGATTTATTATGCAAATAATCTATTTTGGTGTCTAAATTTAAGTTTTGACCCCATTTAATTAAACTGTACAAAATTACTTTTACGTTTTGAAATTGGAATTCAATTCATGATAGATCGCCATAAAAACTTGCCTGGCTATAATTATTAATAGTGTGGTACAAAATGTCTTGGCAAACCTCTTGGGATTTTTAATCTATGGGAAATATCAAGCTTTTACTAATTATAGGAATCTTTAAGAAAATTATATACGTCAGAAAAAGATAAGTCACCCTAATTTAGGATAAGAGTTTTTTATTGATTAAAATATAAGAAAAATATTGAATATGATAAATAAATAAATAGGTTTTACACATTTTTATATTGTGCATATTTAGATCTAGAACAACCAGTATTACTATCAGGTTGGACCGTTACATATGGTATCAAAGATACTCTTTTGTCATCCTTATCGATAGATTGGCGGATCATAATTCAATTGAATTTAAGTAAATTTCGAAAAAAATGAAACCAACCTCAATACTAAATCTAGACTAATTTCATTCAATTAGGCAAATCTCAACGAGGACGCCCAACTATGAATAGTTTTATTCATCCAAATACTCCCTATGTCTCAAACTACTCGTAACTTCTTCCTTCTTGAGCATCAAATTACTTGAATGTTGATTGATATTTTAAAATATATTTTTTGAACATATTAATATGGGAAGGGTTGTAGTTTATCCTACTTCCATCGTCCACTTTTACTTATTTATTATACTAGACATAAATGTTTGAAAAACAAAATATAATTTCTTTACATTTATTTTGCTCTTGTTATTAAGTACTAGTATTTATTTCTTAATGATTGATATCACTTATTATAAGTATTTTTTTTGCAGATTCATGCAGCGTAGGATCTATTATGGGAAAAACGCTCCCTAATATTATTATTTTTCATACGAGACTCAAATCCAAGACCTCTAGTTAATGAAAAACAATCTTAACTTTATCCACTACATTATATCCTTTGATGATGAAAAAATAATAATTCAATAACCAAGTTTTGAATCTTGAGGACAGCCCATATATAGGAAATATCGTGAGTAATGGTCACAAGTCGGTGTGGAAAATGCAGCAAGAGATTAACCTATAAACTATCACTCCATTTACTTTTATTTATTCATTTTAATGCATCAAGAGAAGTATATTTTTTTTCTTTATTATTTTTAATATTAATAATTTTTCAAATCCTTCTTAAACTATACATCAATTAATATATATTAAATTAATTATGAACAAATAAAAATGATCAGAAAAAAATAGTATGGAAAGAGAGTTTGGCTTCTAAAAAATGATGAAGACATTTAGGGAACAGAAAAAACAGTGTGTGGTTGAAAATCCATTTACTCAAATATTTATAGCAAAGTTTTGTCATTATTAAGTTCTAGGGAAGAAGAAAAGAAGGAAATAAACAAACAAAAGAAAGATAGCAGCCACCATTTACATGAATATGTCCCTACTCACTACTCCCTACAACCATTTTAGTACAATTTTTTAAACATAATTCAAGTGGTAACAATTGTGAATTGACCATATACAATAATACTCTATTTTCATCAAGTTTTTAATAATAGTATTCAATTTTCTATCCTCATTTATGTGATATATTTTTCATAAATAATTTGTCCTCTAAAATAACATCACTATTTTTATAATTAGGAAAAAAATAATCTTAAAATTATCCTTTTATTTTAATAAAAATAATGTAAAGTTACATATGTCTAAAGTTATTTTGAGATCACAAATTTTAAAGTCTTCTTTCATAAATTTTGTATTAACGCAAAAGATGATAACTTTGTATTATTTTTTTACCAGTTATTAGCATATGAGGAAATTTTGGTTTTCTGTCCCCTACTTATTAGGGGCGTTTAGTTGTTGATTAGAGTTGAATTATTCATACTTTAAAATCAACATAATTAATATTGAATATGATATTATTTTAGGTTCTATGTATAAAATATAATATACATAATATAACACTCCTTCTATTTTATATTAAATGAATTTACAGGGTTTTTTTTTACATTGTTCAAAGTTTAAGATAGATGTTTGAATTTTTTTTCATATTTGTTATTTCCTTTAATGAAGTTTGCTATTTTCTAAGAAATAAATTACACTACCTACAAAGTTATATTTATGTTTTCACAAAAAACAATAATAGAAAGAGTATTTTAAAATATGTTCTTAAATATTTTTTTAATAATTTATATTACCTCATAAATTCAGATAATATGGAGTAGAGAGAATATTTGGTTATTAGATTAACTGAAATATGTACTCTCTCCGGAGTACTAGTTATCATATAGTTTTCCCTATTTTTAGTTACACGTTCTTTAAAAAAATATATTTATTTTGATTGTTATATCCTAATTTATAATCACTAACCATTTATTTTCTTTCTCAAAAAATAAGCATCACATTAACAAAAATCACATCTATTGAAAATCAATAAATACAATGTATAGTTTACTAAACTACCTCTAATAAATAAATGTCTCTTGAAAATTGAACATTATTGAAAAACTCAAAATAGGAGGATAGTTAAATTACTACTCCTTCAATATTTTTTTTCATGTTTTACCATCAACATTAAATACTTATTTTTCAAATCATTTTCCAAGCCATTATTTAATAAGGGACAGTTTAGTAAAATATACTATATGTCATTATGGTGTGTTAAATCATACTGAGACAAGTAAAATTGAATGAAAGAAAATATTTTTTTTTACTGACTAGAATTTTAAGTTAACACTGATTTTGAAATAATTTTCCTGCTATGGTTAGTAAGACTTATTTTAGATCAGAGGGAGTATACTATCAATCTCTCTTCAGTAAAACAAAAATAAAATTAATCTAAACAAACACAATATTAAAATATTTGTATTAGCTCCATTTAATTTTGTATCCTACCTAGTCAATCTATATTACTTCATAATTAAAAGAATGTAGACAACTATTGCCTTGATTTTTTCTAAAATGACAATTAATTTGAATCATAGTGTTACTTAGGATGACAAGCAAATTTATTTGTAAAATGTATAATTATGAATAGTCGTATTAGCCCTCATCCACTTTTAATATCATAATTTTTTTTTTTAAGTCAAACTATATAAATTTTGACTAACATTTTATAATGGATTTGTCCATTATATTCAAATGTTTCAATTATGTACGTACTTGGTGTGGTTATTTTCAAATCAAGCACTTATAACACATTATTATACTGATGTTAGGTATTAATAATATAATATTTAGTTACATAGTAATATTCTCTCTGTTCATTTTTATTTGTTCAAATTGTGTTTTTTCACTTAAAACAAGTAGCACAAATCACGCACATGCAACACCTACAAACTCACCTAAAAAACAAGTTAAACCTAACATTACAGTGTCAAAACTTACTAATTCAACAGATATGATTACAACTACAATCGTAATTGCAAGCTGTAAATAAACCATAAATTTGGAAGGATTAACAAATTAGGAGGAACAAAGCAGTACTAAGAAACACTAATCATTGAATTAAATTGACGAAATAAGCATCAATAGAAGCAAAAGCAAGTACATGTCACCAAAAATTAGGTATAACTATTACAGTAATTAATTAATCTCATTCATACTAATATTCCTTCCTATTCACTTGATTTCTCTATTGTCAGATAGAAATATAGCTTCCAATATGTCTGTCAGATAATAATAAAGAGAAAGAAAGAAAGCCATTTCTACAAAAAAATGGGAGGTTTAAACTTTTTTTTCTTTCCTAATTTGCCCTTGAATTATACTATCCAAATTCCAATTATATCCCTCCCGACTTCCATTTTTCTCTTCCAAGAAAACACAAAATTAGTAAAGTGGAGATCGCTGAGGCGTACCCTTCCTCCGGTTCATCATAGAAACTGATATTCCCGAACCCGGTCCACAACCCGGTCGAAACACAGACCGGAACGCGGAAAGGGTGCTGCGTTTCTTCCTTACAATCTCTGTTGTCGCCGTGCATCCAACCGTCCTGCAACCAACCTCTTCAGCGGCTCCGCCACTTGAACCGGATTCGGTTCTTACCGAACCAATCGGTTCAAGAATGGTATCAGGAGTCATTTGACCATCGTCTAAACCCGGTTCAGGAAGTGTCATGTACTCACACCTATAGATATACTTCGTAAGTTTGCCCTCTGTTTTCAGTATGTGTTGAACCTGTAACAAAACCAAGATGAAAAAACTTGTATATGAAAAATGGGTCGGTGACGAAATTCAATTATCATAATTGATAATTCAAAAAATGATGAATTTACCTTGCAGGAAACAGAGCAAAAGAGAAATGGATCTTGAAGTCCCCTGTCACAGATGATGCAACAATTACCTGAGCCTCTACTAGCCCTTGTTTGTGGCCTTTGGTTTAAAAATACCACTTTTGCACTATTTGTAGTGTAAGACTGCAAGGGAACAAAACTTTTTTTTTAACTACTCATATCAGATAATTAACAACAGAAATTCAAAAGTTGACAAATTTTTTTCCTCACTTGAACAAAAGCACAGTCTAGCAATTTATTTGCATCACCAAGCCTTATGACATCATGATACACATATCTCCTAATCTGCAAGTCAAGAAATTAAACATCATAATTCAAGCCCACTTGCGAAATTACACCGAATACGTCATCGTTGTTATAATTCAACATGATGAAGGAGATGAAAAATAATTGACCTGCAAAAGGCGGTGAGAACGGTGAGGTGACAAGCAATGAGGGCAAATACCCTCACAGCAGTCCAAACAGAAAACATTCTTCTCATTCTTCTTAGCATCTTCATGAATTATACAGGCATTGAAGAATTTCTCTGTCAAAAGTGCAACAAGCCACTGAGGAAGATTTTGTGCATAGTCCAACTACAAAACAAACCAAAAAAACAAAACCCCATCAGAATATATATAATCACTTTGTTGAATAGAAACTAGAGAGAATAAAATCAAAGAATTAATAGACCCCACCATGTTCATATATGAATAATATTCCTCTTCTCTTCTCTTTTGCTTCAGTATATATATATATATATGGAGAAGAGAAGGATTTTGAAATTGTGATAAAGCAAATACTACTGTTTTGGTAGAAAGAGAAGAAAAAAGGTATGGGGTTTGAGGGGACAGAGGAAAAAAAGGGAGGACGGCGCCTGCAAAAAAACTAAGGCTGGGGTATTACTGTTACCAATGAAAGAAGAAGAGTAGTAGTAGTGCTGTGTGGTATGGTATATATGCCAATTTGCTAATGGTGTATATACCTACAATTCTTTCAAAAATTTTCCTACTAGTACTATTACTTATCTTGTATATTTTGTAAATAGTACTATTCTTTTTCTTCTTCTTTTTGGAAAAATAATAATACTAATTTTGTGTAAAATCTTGAACTGATAAACACAGACCCTAGTAGTATAAAAAATTGTCTCTTGTTAAAGGAGAACAGCTTGAAATCTTCTGGTTTCTTTGGTTTTTATTTATGATTTATAATAGTAATAGTAATAATTAGCACTATTTACAAGTTTTATAGCTCGTATCCCAAAGAGCCTATTAGAAATGAGCATTTGGTGATTTATGTATGGTAGGTTTCTTGGCTAAGCACTAATAGGCAGAAGCAGTCCCTTCATCTGCTCTCTTATTTCTCTCTCTGCCTTCTCAGCTAAATGACAAGACTAAAGATGGTGACTTTTTTTTTTTCACCCACCAGTAAAAAAAATAAATTGACAGCATGAGGTTAAAGAGGGAAATTTGAAAAAATACTAATAATTAAAAAGTGAACATTTTAGCTTTGGTGACAAACCATGATCTTTTTTTTGGGATATGCTCAATTTTGAGCTATGTTTTATTTTAATTAGATAGACAGACTATTACATAGCTTATTATAATTCCTATAAAAAAAAATCTACGTTACTGTTTTTTATCCCTAATCTTTTTTGAAGAAACTATGCGGGTGAAATAATTCCAACTGCCATTTAAGGGTATGCCTCATTGGTTAATGAAATGGTTGAGAGTCCTGAGGTCTCAAGTTTAATTCACAACTTAGATAAAAAGACTAGGTAATTCTTTTTATTTGTCTTAGTTTTGATGAATAGAGTTATCTGATAGTTGTTGGTGGTGGGATGTGATAGATATCTCATGAAATTAGTCGAGGTGAGGTGCGCGAAAGCTGATCTGAACTTCATGGTCATAAAAAAAAATGCTGCGATTACACCTCTTTTAATTTAAGAATTTATTGGAACTTTATTTTTTTCCCTCAACAATACAAGTTTGAATATATTTTATTCTTTTCGAATTTCATTTATAAAATTATGTTGAATAAAAATTGAAACGTATTTGAAGAACGGAAATTCAAAGGAAGTAAAAAAGAGAATACTGGGAAGTCATATACTAGACTTGCACTGTTTATCAAGATTTAGTAGTAGAAACTTCAAGATTTTGTGTATCGCTAATAGATATTGTAATGTACAATTTTTATTATTTTTTACATCATTTTACTAGTTGTGTTGTTATAAAATAAAAATATTGAAATGATCATAATTGATGATAAAGAAGTCAAAGTAGGTTTCACATTGAAAGAGAAAAAAGATCCAAATTTAGCTTACTGTAATTGTCGCATGAACTCGGAAGGCAGCGTTGGAACCATGCCCTATTAACTATAACTAGTCATTTTAACACACAGCTCACACACCTGTGTTATAATTATATCTTACATATATACTGACCAATTTCATAAATATGTTGATTGTATTTTTTGACTCAATTGTCAATACTTGTCTTTAAACTTTGAACACTTGTATATTTATAGTATTTTTTTCGTAAAAAGGAAACCAAAAAATATAACCATTAGTTATAATTGTGTTGTCAAGGTCAATTTATGCACGACTCGTATAATTTTATGGAGTACTTATAACGTTTACTAGTGTATATGAACACATATATAGCTATAGCGTCCATTGAAATTTATTTGAGTATGCAATCTTATAGATTTTGATTTACTTTGACTACTAGGTTGCACCAGTTTTCTTAGGTGAAGGACTAACCTTGCTACTCTCCGACCTTTGTTGATTCATTTATTAATTTTTTTGTAGCTATTTGATAGAGAGTGTAAGAATAATGTTAAATAAATTATATTAGTAATGTTTGTATTAACAATGTATGTATTAGTTATACTTACTTTAATTATATATAAATTATTTATATATATATATTTTGGTTTGATTCATTAAAAATAGCATGTATTGCATAAAAAAAAATTAATTATAAAGATGCCCTCCACTATTATGGTGAAAAAGAAGTAAAAAAAAGGTTTTAAGGGGCAAATGTATGAATTAAAACCATTGCATTGCTAATACTAGAAATTCATGGTATTACCAATAAACATCTTCTTATTATTATTTTCACATAAAATTAGTACTTCATCTATTTCATATTAAGTGAATTTATGATGCAATACACTATTAAAAAGAGAATTAGGACATACATTGAACATTACTTTTCATTTTTTGCCTTTTAGTTAATGTCAAACAATTCTTGAAAATAGAAATAAGTCAAAGTAAAATCATAAATACTTTCTCTATCTAACATAGTTATCCACTATTGACTTGGCGCACCCCTTAAGAAACAATAAATAATAGTAGTAGTATTACTCAATTACCTTTTGAATATATGAAATTTAATGTTTTGAGAAATGTACTAGGTGTTGAATAGTACTCTCTCCGTCCAACAATAATTGTCCATTATTGACTTAACACATGAATTAGGAAGTAGTAAATAATAGGGGTAAAAATGATAGTATTTAATATCAAAGGTAAAATAGACACAAAATGATAAATTATTTATTGATTTTATAAACTGGACAACTATTGTTGAATATCTCAAAATAGTAAAGTGAATAATAAAAATAGATTGAGCAAATAATATTTAATAGCAAGGTTAAAACATGATAAAAGGGTAACTTGATTTTCAAAACTGGACAAGTACTGTTGGATAACTATTTTTAATATAGTAGACACATAAAGATGGATAGAGGAAGTATAAACAATTCACTCTCTTGAACTTATCACTTAGAAAATGTAAATGAAGGACAAAAATGAGAAAAAATTCAAATATTTATCTAAAGTTTTGAACAATTCATATATTTTAAACAATGAAAAAAATCCCAAAATCAGTTAATATTGAATAGAAAAATAAAATATAACAATATCGCTAGTTCATTAATAGAAGATTTTTATAATTATTTTTTCTATTAAAATTATAACTGATCTTAGAAAACATTTCTCAAATTAATAAGTGTACATATATAAGCTAAGTTTTCACATAAATTAAGTTAATACGTAACCATAGTTAATTAAGTTATATTTCTCTGCACATTTAACACTTGTGATAATAAACGGAAAAAGGTTAAAATTATCCTCAAATTATTTGAAATAGCTCATATATACCTTTTAATTATGTTTATGATCAAAACTATCCTCGTCGTCTATGTTTTGGACCACAAATACGCTTAAATCGTTATCTTTGCCATTAGGGCTGACATGACAGTCCACCCAAGTTGTCCAACATGCGAAAATACCTTCCTCTCAATAATGTTGTTCTTCCTTGTTCATCCCTATAACAAAAAGAAAATCAACTATAATTATTTCATTGTTCTTATTTGAGTTGTTGTTCGGACATTAGAACTCCAATTTCAAAGTGTGACAAGTTTTTTTGAGGTTGTAATTGCATGTTGAAGGATCGAGTTCATTGCTTGGGATTTGGGGTCATAGATTCACAAAATCTAGTTTTAGATTTTCAAGCTTTTAATAACTCTTCATAATTTTTTTTGGGATTTCAACTCAAATCTTCAAACTAAAAAAATCAGTTGTTAAATGTCAGTTTCCAGCTTCAATTGTAATATCCAAGCAATTTTTAGTAACATTTAGTTAAATTTCTTCAAATTTTTGCACTTCAAAAACTCAACAAAGGCAAGAAATTTCTCACCAACAAGCTTTCAAATTAGTAGCTATTTTCAAGTTTCAACACAAAAAGAATGACTTCAAGAGTTTTTCAACATCTTTCAACTTTGAGAATTAAATATTCAGCCTCAGATTCGATGACATCGAAACCCAAACAATGAACTCGATCATTCAATACACAACTACTATCTCAAACTAACTTCAACGCATTTCGAAATTGAAATTTCAAAGTCCGAACAATAACTTAAACAAGAACAATGAAAGAACTATTTTTGATTTTTTTTTGTGATAGAGATGAACAAGGAAGATAACATGAGTAAAGTATATCTGAGCTATTTCGAAAAATTTAAGAGTAATTTTGAAACTGTAAATCCAAATATATAAATAAATGTGAACGTTGTCAAAAATAATATTTTGTATTTGAATTATGACTTGTGAGAAGGAGATTTCACACAAAAGGAAAAGAAACAGATAATCGAGTAGCAGATTGTTCATACTTTACTGGTTAATAATTTTTTCACCAAAATTGTTATCATAAATAAAATAGGCAAAACGTTTAAAATCTTTTATTTGTCTGAATAACAATAACAGAGAAAGGAAATTGCCAACTAAGTTTGTGTGATTAAATCAAGGTAAGAGAACCACTCGGTGGTGGTGAATTCAGAAATTTCATTAAGAATATTTAAAATTTAATTTATGTATATGAAAAATAAATTTTATTATATTTACTTTGTATAATTTGCTATAAAGATAATACAATTTCTTGGTAAAATATATTCAACTGGTCAATCTTGACTAAGCCATTGGAACCAGCTATAATTGCTGGATTAGTAGAAACAGGAAAAGTCACTTTTATGTAAAAAGGATTTTATGCTTATTTATAAGTCCGTCTGATCAGAAACAATGGTGAAAAGTAATGAATTGTTTACTATTCTTTTTGTCAAATTTCTTCTAGGTGTTTGATTATAAAAAAAAAGAAAAAAAATCTGAGTTTTTTCAGAAGCAAACGTAAAAAATCATTTATTTTAATGTAGAAATATTTTTACCATAAATCTATATTTGTCAAATTGTCCGTCT